TGACAGCACCCGATCGGGACCGGAGGCAAACCAACAGGAGGCACAGATTTAAATTCTGTCACCTTCCGTTGCCTCGGCGCCTCGCTGACAGCGTCTGCCGCTTTCACTGCTCAGTGTCTGCAAACTCCTCCGTGCTGTCTGCTGAAATCCTGTAGGTGACTGTGTATCGTCAAACAGCATCATCTAGGGGCAGTGGGTGTGAGCTGGAACACAGGAGGTTCCCTTAAACTTGAGAAGAAACTTCTTTACAGTGAGGGTGACAGAGCCCTGGAACAGGCTGCCCAGGGAGGTTGTGGAGTCTCCTTCTCTGGAGACATTCAAGACCCGCCTGGACGCCTTCCTGTGTAATTTCGTTTAGGTTCCTGCTCTGGCAGAGGGGTTGGACTAGATGGTCTTTTGAGGTCCCTTCCAATCCCTGACATTCTGTGATTCTGTGTGATTCTGTGAGACATGTGTGTTCATGCATCAGGATATGTCTCATCTCCCAAACCTTTCCAAACTGTAGTTAATAAAAATTTCTGACGTCCTATGTGGCCTTTGGATACGGCCTCTGACAGAATTCACTCCGTTCTCCCACCATCTTACGAGTTATTGCATACACCGGGGAAGGAGGAGAGCTTTGGACAGGGCCATAAAAATGTTGCCGTGCATGGCGTGGTTTCAGTGATAAAATGTCCCCAGACTGGCAGCTGAAAGATTTTTTGGAGAATTCAGTGTAGTGTATAACACTCCACACTCCCTTCAACTTGAACGACTGATGCACTGACAAAAACAGGGGAAACCATTTTGAACTTTAATTTCCAAAAACGTTGACTACCAGGAGGAAATAAAAACCAACGTGATGGAGAAGCGACTTTCACATTTTTCCATTTGTTGTGTTAACGAGCAGCACTCAACAGCAGTAAAACAATTTGCACAGGACCATAAAAGAAACAGTTGCTCAACTCTGATGAAGTGTCACTTTTTTTTTCTTTTCTTTTTTTTTTTTTGGTGACCTTGGCTCTGTTTCACGCTACCAAGGTCAGTCCTCCTGGGCGTTATTCAGGTACAGAGGGGTGCCCAGGGTGTGTTTGAACAGCGCATCGGGGAGGACAGCGAGCGAGCCCCAACAACCCGCCGTGCCTGCAGCCTTTCTGCCTGCTGTGTCGGTGGGAACTCCAACGCTCCGATTTTCACGGGGTGGCTGCTCCTGTGCAGATGCTGTGGGTGGGTTTTTTAAAATCTGTGATATGGTCAGCAAACCCTAGAATGTCTGCAGACAATTTTTAAGGAGTTTGTGAAAGTAAAGCAGAAAAGCAAACTTATTGTTAATAGATTTATATTCATTATAAGATGGCCTGACCCCTCACTGAAAAAAAAATCTAGGGAATAGCACATTTCAGACTTTGAAAAAAAATCACCAAAAGCTATTACGAACCCACTGTCTTGTTTGACTCAAATCTGAGTTGATGGTCAAATTACCCCTGATTCTAAGGAGATTATCAGTTTCCTTATTTTCACATCCATTAAATGATGCCCTATACAAAGGTCTCATGGTGCAACTTTCTCCACCTTCCAGGAACTGATTACAGTAAATCCAAGCTCCGTAGTCAAAAATGCAAAAGTAAATTGGAACATTGTCCGGATGTTTAGGTGAGACAGAAATAGCTTTATTTTTAGTAGCTAGAATAGTGCTCTGTTTTGGTTTCAGCATGGGATTTGTTATGAGAAAAATGTTGATAACATGCCAGTGTTTTCATTTGTCGCTGGAATTGACCAACTTTGTATTTTGTTAGTCTACAAGCACAAGGTCTAGAGGGGAGCCATGAATATTTAAATTAATAAGCTAGATTGGCATTTGGATATGCCAATAGGATATTCCATATCATGTAACATCATGTTCAGTATATTAATGAGGGTCTGTTCCTCTCTTGCTCTCTCTGGCTTTCACTCGGGCTCTCACTCTTCTGGGATTGTGATTTCGGGATCATTGCTCCTCCAGTATCGTTATCTGAGAATGGGCTGGGCTTGGTTGGCAGATGGTGAGCAATTGCACTGTGTCACTCATTTGCATATTTTATTACTATTATTATCATTATTATTATAATATAATTATTATTTTAAGGTTTATTTTATGTCAATTATTAAATTGTTCTTATCTCAACCTACGAGTCTCCTTACTCTTGCCCCCCCAGTTCTCTCCCCTGTCCCCTGGGGAGGGGGCAGTGAGCCAACAGCTGTGTTTGGCTGCTAGCCAAGTGAAACCACCACAAACATCTGTGCGATATAATCATTGTTCCTGATCTCAGATAGGTGTGTGTGCATAGATATATTGACATTCAAGGTCAAGACCCCAAGGTTTACAACATTCAGAGAGGAGAAAAAGCCCTTGAGATAAGGTGCCTGTGGGGCAGGCATTGCTTCTGCAGACAAGCCCTGCAAGGGCAATGTTCACCTGTTTCTAACCACACCAGTCTTGGTGTGCATCTCGTTTCCTACGCTCCTCTCCACCCTGCTTTGTTTGTACAGAGCTAACAGTAGCCATCAGCCTAATATACAACACTCTGTAAAGAGAAGACATCTGGGTGTGCACAGACCTTAAGTTGCAAGCGGTTATGTGAGCTGTAAATCATACCTCTCGCCACCCCGCCACATGAAGGATCAGGCTGTGTGGTCAGAGAAGATGTGGCTGGGACATGAAGTCAGAGCAGCTGTCATTTGCACTCCTGGACATCCCCATACCCCTCCTAGTAGTTCCTGCACCCCGATCATCAGCCCACATCTTGTGCCCGAGTCAGATAGTAGGGTGGAGGGCTTCTGAACTGGTGGTCAGCTACATATGAAACACACCAACCTGGCTATGCTTTCTTTCATCTGGATTTATGTGGGGCACTCTTGTTGGGAATCACACAAAGCACAGGTGATGTATGCCCAAAAGAAACACAGGGAGTTTTGCGGTATCAGTATATAAATTAAAAAAAAAAAAAAAAAAAAAAAAGGAAGATTGCCAAAAGCTGGTATAAATAACTTTAATTAAAATCTTCAAATATAAAAGTCACAAGCATTGGAATAAACAAAACTGTTAGAAAAGTTCTAAAAAGAAGCTACCAGGCAAACAATAACTTTGTTGTCTGAGTTGTGACTTATTATAATAAAAATATATTAACTTTATGTTGACTGTACGCAAGAGTTTTCACTCCATTTTATACTCTCTTTACTTCTTCTATTGAACTTGGACAATGTTAGCCCCCCTTACTCTAATTTCTGATCTATATTGCCCCCTGATACATAACCCTTCACAGAATGCATCTGCTTTGTGGATGCAAACACTCCTTTGACACCCTGAACTTAAATATAACCTTTTTATTGTGCAATTTTCAGAAGTTTTAAAAGTCTTCTCATTAAAAAAAGGTTCCCTCCCCCTCTGCCCTGCATTGAAACCCCATGTAGCTGGTAGCATCCTTTTAAAGCTTAAAAAGGGAAATACAGTGGGGTGTGGTGCTGGTGTCTTCCCCTGCTGTGCTCAAAATACTGTAAGGCGTTGTCAGTGGCGTGGGTTATGTGTCTTCAGGAGAAGGAGATGCAAATAAACACGTACAGGAGACACAGGTATTCATTCTCCGAGGCGTGTTGCTGCCCTGCAGCCCACGTGCCGGAGGAAAGCAGCCAGCGGCACACCGAGCCGCAGCAGGGTGCGCACGGGGAAGGCACGGCCGGGGAGAAAAGTCATCGCCAACAGATTTCTGGCCAAAATGGCTGTTTCCCCAGCAGGAGGGATATCAGCCTGGCCCGGCAGGTTTGTCCCCAGGATGTTCTAAGGCCACTGACATCTCTCTGATGGTCAAGGGGTGGGTCATCTGCTCAGTCTCTTTACTCTCCCGTTTCCTCAAGGACAGAAGAGACCCGAGTGAGTTTGGGAGCGTAAAGCAGAGCTTCAGCTGCAGACGGGTTCTGGGGAGTCCTTTCCAGCTGAACCACCTGCAGGGCAGTGAAGGCTGAAGAGTCCAAGACATTGTTGTGCAGTCCACTGACCACGGAGGTTTTGCTGGGGTGCTGGTGGTCTCCTCTCCTTTCATCTCAGGGATGAAGTGTGTGAAGGCAGAGGTGGACCACCCTACAGCAACCACCTGCATTTCTGTGTCAAGAGCTCACCTTTGGAAAGCACGTGGCCACAGCTCCATCTTGTGACTGAACTCTCCTAGCTTAGGAAAAACATGCGGTGCTGCCCTGAATCCCATGGAGGACCTGGTTTCTCAGCAAGGCGTTTTCCCCTGCAGGCACCTCGAATCTCTGTTTGCTTTTTGAGTCCCCACTTCCCACCCTGAGATGCCCTCAGCAACCACAACCCCTCCTCAGGCTGCCCCACATGGTGCCGGCAAAATCACAGCTGTACAGCTAAAATAAAACCCCTGCCCATCCTTTCTGAAGGCAAGCTTTTGAAGGAACTGCTTTTAGAGCTGTGTTTGCAGAAATGCCAGGGAGAGGGGAAGTTGCAGTTCCCAGCTGGCAGAGTCCCAAGTGCAGCGTGAGAAGCTGGTGCAGCTCCGCACGTGGTGTGGAGAAGGGCAGCAACCCAGGCTGGACAGAGAGCAAAACCAGTCCCTGCCTGGGGTTGCTCTACCTGGATAATTCTCCCGGGAGCTTAACAAGCATCTTTCACATCAAATTACTCAGCAGGACCTCATGTCTTCCCCAGGCCACAGACTGTACCAGTGCCACCACATTTGCATCCCTTTCTAGAATTAAATCTCATGGTAGAAACATGAATTTCGAGGATTAAGCTTCCCTGCCAGCCAAGTGCTTTACATTTCTCTTGTGTGTGTGTATTAACCATTTAAATGCAAGCAATAGCTTTGGCGTTTTTGATAACAAAAAAGCCGTAAGAGAAAGCTGGAAGGCCGAGGACGCTGCCAGGTCCAAGGGGTTTTTCGATAAGCTCTGGCAGTGTTTTGTCATCCACCATCCGTAGCACACGGCCATTCAGCTCAATAGACCTGGAGAAGGACAGAGAGACTGTTTGGGCAGCTGTACTCTGTTTGCCGTCAAGCACAAGCAGCTCTGGACCCAAGTGCAAACATAAACTCAGCCCAAAGCCAAACTAAACTTCCCTTGAAGGTTTATGTGTGCTACACCCCCTCTGCGAGGATTCCTTTAGAGTTGTAGCACAAGCAAGTTGAAAGGTACACGTTTCTTACTTTCCTAGCGAGTTTAACAGCAGAACAGGCTTTGAAAAGTACAAATTATAATTGTTTTTTCTCCTGCAAGTATTAAGATATCTTCAATGCCCACAGAGCAGATCCTTCCTGTGCCGATACATTAGCAGTAACAACAAAAGAAACCATAGGCATTGCTGTAAATCAGGAGTCAGCACTTGGGAAAGCAATATACCTGTGCTTGTGGAAAAGAAAAAGGACTTCAGCAGCTGGTCCAGAGCCCTGAAGCCTGCTATGAAAAAGCTTCCTGATTAACATCAAACAAGTGTCCTTGTACCTTCACAAGCTTTCAGCACCCTGATTTAAGGAGACCTGATTTAACAGAAGTCAGACCTTACTGAAAAAACACCCCAGATGACAGAATGGTAACATCTTTTCCCCCCCCCCACCTTACAAATTGAACAAGGTGAGGCTTTAGGAGCCATCTAACTCTACTCACAATCATTTCTACAGAGACAGGAAGGATCACATGCTTACCTGGAAAGTATATTCTCTTTGCCATGAGGCAATAAGAGGTACTGATCCACGTGCTTGCTTGATAAGTAGCTCGGTAGCTGCAAATGTTGCGTAACATTGTAGAGGTTTAAGGCAAACAGTGTCACGTCCCCTTCTCTGTACTTTGGTCTGCAAGGCAAGAGAAGATGGTTGTGGGGATCAGGTGAGAAAGAGGTCCTTGCGCTGTCCCAAATTGATTTCTTGGCCTGGGGGTGGCCATGGGCTCAGTTTCTGGGATATTTTGCCCTTTCTGGAAGCTTACTGGAGGGTGTTTGTGCAGTGGAGGTATACACGGAGCTTCCTCTCGTCGGCTCCTACCAGGCTGACCTGCAGCACCTTGGTACCCACCAGCTTCTTGTAGAGCAGTGAGAGCCAGTAATCCTGGGAGGCACAGAAACACACGTAAGCACTTGTGTACATGGCAGGTATTCCACACGGTGCTTAGCTTAATGTTCATTTTCCTACTAATTTCAGGGGTTTTTTTCCCCCCATCATTTTTTTGCTTTACCAAGTTTATCACCATATCTATTTAAATTCCCACAAACAGCACAGCTAAAGAGAAAACCCCACCTCTATGCTGCAGAGCAGCTGTGTTTACAAAGTACCTTAGAGTCATTTTCTCCTTCATATGCAAGTCTCACAGCTCTTTCTGTGGGGGGAAAGACTGTTTGCATTTTGGAAAGGCCATTCTGCAGGGTACAGAGCACATCAGGGCTGAACCCGTGGGGGATGAGCTGCCCTTCCTGCAGGAAAGCCTGTGCCCAGTTCACAGATACAGCACTGGGAAGAAGCCCCCAACAACTTTCATTAACATTGTGCTTTTGAACAGGGCTCAGGATTAATTTCTGAATGCCAGTCAAGAGTAAATCCTCTGAAACCCCAGGATGATGCCCAAGAGGAGGGCGATGCCCAGTGCAGACTCATTTTTTCCAGGTCTGCTTTTCCTTGCATCTTGACTGCTGCTTTTCCTCTATGAAGCATGTGACCACACTGAAGAGAGCACGTGTGGTCTGCACTGGTGGGTTTTGGGAGTAGGAGACAACAAGCAGGCTGCATTTTGCAGTATTGCTTCTTCAAGCGCAGCCCTAGGGGAGGATGTGCCCCAGCTGGAGGGTTTCAGAGAACTTCTCCTACAGCTCATCTATCTGTCTGTCTTTGAGGTTTTCCTAGAAAGAAAATTCATGTTTCTCTCCTGACTCACCATGAACCCAGAGAAGACACTTTTCCTATCAGACTGCATGCTTAGCCCTTCTGCAAGGAAGTGCAGCCTTCTGACACTGCTGTGCCTCTTCATTTCCATGCTAACTAAAACTGATGGACCTGGGTCTGGATTTTCCTGCCTCTAAAGCATTATTAGCTTGATTAGCATCTGTACCACCTGTAGGTGAGGAACAAGGCACATCCTTTTAGTTCAAATAAAATCTATTTTAAATGAGGGAATAAAAAGCCCAAAGAAACAAGCCTGACAATGCAGCCCCTAGCACAGGGACCAGCTCAACAGGCAGGACACAAAAACCCCCATGTGCTGGGTTTCCTCTCAGATGGTCTCTATAAGACTCTGAAAAATCACAACTTGGAAGCAGAAGAATGAGAGGAAAGCTAAAGACACTATCCTCTCACCCTAAGGTAAGTGCTACTAGCAGAAAGAAACATGCTGTACATGCAAAAACAACATATAGTTCAAATAATGATATTTCATGATAGTGGAATGTTATTTCCTAACAAATCCAACTATACTAAATGCATGTTTTCATTTAATTATCCTTTAGCCACTACTGAAGGCTGATTATGCTCATGACCCAAGAAACGCTTGAGTCTTGACTTCATGTTGGATTGGTTTTCACTTGGGATATAATTTACTATAATACTTAGTATCACTTCTGTTTTAAAGCTGCTGATCATTCAGCTGAGGAGTACTCCAACCAAAACAGTCCATCCAGAAACACCTTGTAAACTCCAGAAACATCTGCAAACAAATCAGAGCATCGCGTCCCAGAAATCAGTCTGTGCTGTTCTGAAGACCAGCTGCATCCCTGCAGTTGCAGTAAATATCTTGATCTATATATGTAATATAGGAACACATAATGAAACATGAGCTAACTTTAGGTGCAAGGATAATTGTGATTATCCTACAAAATCTATCACTATCTTGCGTAGTTAAAATAGGTGACTTGTGTCTCCACATCCAGTGTTGCCTGTGCAGAAATACATGCAGCGTTCAGATGGTGTTAGTGGGGTTGCGTACATACTGGCAAAGGTTCAAAGTTGGCATCCACCAGGTGATAGGTCCCTGCCCCGAAGAAAACCTGTCTCATCACCACGTCAATCCCCTGCCTGGCTGAAAGCCCGAGTTTGTCCAACCACCTGCCAACAAAAGGAGGCAAACAACATGCAGATGAAATTGCTGACCTCAACTGTACACTGTTGTCCCTCTCCAACCAGCTGGGGAAGTAGGAAAGCCAGAATTAGGGCATGATGGTGACTTCCTTAAAATCACACAACTAATTTCAATTTAAGTCTGGCATTGATTACTTTAAAAAAAAAAAAAATGAGACCACCTCTGGAGGTCCAAGTTGGTGGGTGTCCTGCCATTACCTGGCTTTGACTTGCTGGCCCACCAGGCCCTGACAAAAATAACACCATGCCTTATAAGATGGAAAAAAAAAATATACTGCAACCATGTTTTTGGTTAATTGTCAAAGTGTGAGCCACACATTTTCATGCAATTTTACCTCCTTCAAACCGATCAAAGTACTAAGAAAAGTCTGAATTTTTTATTTTGACAAAAAGCTACAACTGGAGCCCTTGGAGAAAATTATTTTCATGACTACATTTCCCATTAGTTAGTTATTTCACGGTGGCTGAAGGATGACATTGAAAATGTACACCCATCTCTTGAACAATTTTCTGTCCTCACATAAGGACAAAGTTAGCATTGCGGATTTGAGGGCAGAAATACAACTTTCTCACACTTCTCACCCCCCATTTCCCATAGGAATCTGCTATTTCCTTAGCTTACATCGAACCTCAGGCATGGGGGAAGCACACAGGGAATGGTGGGAGGGTTATGATCCTCAGCTCAGCCATTGCCTGTGCTCCTCGGGAAGCCTGAGGGTGATATTCCTCCTGAGGGCCATATAAGCAACCCCCTTCAGCTGGTAAAATGTGTAATTTCCCCACACCCATGACATGGTACTCACATAAAACCAGCAACGTAAGTGTTGGACAGCCTGGGCGCTCCCCCTCCATAGGCAGAGCTTGTCTCTCCTAGCCAGACCTTCTTGTTGGGCACAGTCCCACCAACAATCTGGCCAGTGTGGTGTAGGGGAGAAGAGAAAGACAACAGTTAAGTTTTTTGGCTACTAAAATAATGGTCAATCAAAATGTTGTGCTTTAGCCAAATGCCTACATACAACGTTTGCATCTGAGGGATAATGCCAACTGAGGTGGGATGTCACAGAAATTTTTATCAAAAGGACAAGAAACAGATCTATTTCCCCCTCCCTCCAAAAAATCCCATCTATGCACACAGAAGGATGCAAAAGTCACTAAAGGCCAGGTCCTGTAAGTCTTCTTGTGCTGAGTAGTGGTATATTCTAGGTTATAGTGTTCTCAGGATCACAAAATACAAAGAAATCAGGGTGAAGGGGGGAAAATCACCATAAATTACTTCCCTGAGTAATGACTACATCAATAAATGAGAATGTTGTAGGTGTGTGATATATCTGGCACTACCCATGGCAAACTATTGGAGCTCATCTGTTACTAGTATTGATATTTTTGGTTGGTTGGTTGGTTTTTTTTAATCTGCAATAACAGCAGCACCCAAGCTTTGAGGATCCCTGCTTATTGCTAGTGAGAAGTTGTACTTTGTTCCTGATTCTCTGCTAACCCCCTGGAAACTGAACATGGGAACGACTGAACAGGACAAGGCACCTCCAGGACTTCGCGCACAGCTGTGGAAAACGTATTCAGCACTTCAGGGCTCAAGAAATCCTCCCTCGTTGCATTTCGTCCATTCACATAGTAACTGGAAATGGAAAGAAAAACAAACCCACAGTCAAAATTAAGGAAAAATACCACCACTGGTACAAAACACCACTGAAAGTACTCAGTTGCTTGATATGTTTATCCACAGCATTGTTCTTCTGTTTGGTTCTTTTTCTTTTTTTGTTTTCCAAATGTGTAGGTATGCTGTTTATATTTAAGGGACTATCAAGTATAATTACCTTAATGGAGGCAGGATCTCACAGAAATTTTGATCAAAATTAGTAGTAGTAGAGGTTTTTTGCATCTACTCATTTAGAACGAGGAAAACATCACTGAATAAGAGCCACCTTCTGTAAATCTTCTCTTGCTGAGGAGTCTGACACTCCTATGGGATTACTTGCTTTACTGTATCAAGTTATATATTTAAAATATCAGATCCCAACTTCTGATTTGAGTATTTCTGTTGGAGTATTTTGGTCATCTGGAGGGGAACCGAGATGGAGGCATCCCTATGGGATGAAGGCTGCCCTCCACCATGAGCAGAAAAGCCTTTAAGTCTGGTTTGTCCGAATAAAGAACGGGAAATGGAGATCACTGTGGTTTTTGCATTTCATCACACTGTCACTCAGTCCTACCAGAAGTAGCTGAAGTCTTCCAGCCACAAGAGGAAGCTAAAACCTGATAATCCTAAATTGCTAAAGAAAATAATGCCCAGGGAGGGAAGAGGACATGTTTTATGCCCCACTAGCAGCTCAAAATACATAGATAAGTCTTATATGTACACATATATATAAGCAGGTGCATCTTTTCTCACTGTTACCCGACTGCTGCATATCACCATGCTGCATTCAACTCCAGAAAGAAAACCACCTTCACATGGAAATCACTTTCAAAAATGTGGAGTTGTGGCAGGTGCCCTGGGGACAATTTACCCCACTGCTCATCTGAGCACTTTAAAACTGCAGCTCTAAGCCATGGCACAAGAGCAAAGGGCTGGAACTGTGTCGGTGCTTTCCACTGCAGGTGGGATCCGAGGGTGAGTTACCCAGACACAGCCAGAACTGACTCGGAGAGCAAACATAAAGGAGCAGGAGATGCTGCTACCACTTCTCTATGGGTAAGGGTCAGTCAGACTGTCCTGGTTTTTAGCTGGAACAGGGCTGGGTTTCTTTTCAGTAGTTAGAACAGTGCTGCTTTTTGCTTTAAGCCTGAGACTTGTTATGAGAGCAACACTGATAACAAGATCTAAGGGGGTGAGGAATATTTAAATTTATAAGCTAAATTGGCATTTGGATATGCCAGTGGGATATTCCATATCATATCATGTCATGTCCAGCATATTAGTGAGGGTCTCTTCCTCTTTGGTTCTCTCTGACTTTCTCTTGGCCTCTCGCTCTCCCAGGATTGCGGTTTTGGTTCGGGATTGTTGCTTCTCTGGGATCGTTATCTGGGAATGGGCCGGGCTTGGTCGGTGGGTGGTGAGCAGTTGCATGGTGTATCACTCATTTGCATATTTTGTTACTGTCATCATTATCACTGCTATTTTAATATTAGTATTATTTTAAGTTTTATTTCTATTATTAAACCATTCTTATCTCAACCTACGAGTCTCCTTACCCTTGCCCCACAATCCTCTCCCCTGTCCCCTTGGGGTGGGGGGGAAGTGGGTGAACGGCTGTGTTGGCTGCTAGCCAAGGGCTAGCCCAGTGACACTATCATACAGACCTGCAAGGCTTTTTGCTTATATCAAACAGACATAAATAGAGAAAAAAAGTAGCATGTAACATATCAGCTAGCAACGCTTCTGCTGCATTTTTTATAAGGAGTTGCATGCATTTGCCAGCAGGGTCATCAGTGACTCCCTGAATTTGCTTTTAGGAAGCAAAGCTTTCACTCAAGCAGATTCAGCCTTCCTAATGCCAAGGAGAGCACCAATGCCAGGGGCACTGACTCAATTTCAAAGCCCAGCTACCCACAGGTTGTTTAAAACCTTGTGTTAAAAATCCTTTGCTCTTGCAGAAGTTCAGCAGAGGCATCTCTGCTAAGTAAGCCTGAGCTACCTTCTTTTCCTTTTATACAACACCCCGTCCTTCCCATGGGAAAGCACACTTTATTGCAAGGGTTGGTAGCTTGGAGCTTTGAGACAACCAGGACTGCTGCCCAGATCTCACTAGCTTTTGGTACATGTTAAAACATGGCATATGTTAAAAAGCTCGACCACTGCAGAAACTCCTCGTGCGAGGAAGAGCCATGATCTATCCCCCCGTGCTCTTCTGAGAAATAAAGCTACTATGCCATCTTTTTCTCCACATGCCACTTCTGTTTTTCTCTGTGTACATATTTAGCAAGCAAAATGACCATCTTGCACATGTTGCATTCCCCACTTCTGTGCCTACATTACAAACCCCTGCCACTGCTTTTTGGTCTCTGCACCAAGTAGCCTCTTTGGAGACCTTCTGCACTTCTGCAATGTGCTCCCTCAATTCAACTCTTATTCTGAGCAAAGGAGTTTGCAGAGAGGCACCTGAGGAACTGCTGAAAGGGGCATTTCACTCTCTTCTTCCTGTTGAGATGTTCAAATTGCCGTTTTGTAAAGAAAACAGGCAATAAGCAGTGGTGATGGTATTTCAGCAATACTTACTGGTGCCACGTGACAGAGTCGATCACCTTCCCTCCCGATTTCAGGAAGCTGCAACCAGAGGGGATGCGGTGGAGAGCAGGGGGTTAGTGACAGGTCGTGGTCCCCCACAAGCGAGCTGCCACGCACAGCCCTCCCCTTTCCCCCCAGCTGGCAGTAGTGGTGGTGAACTGCTTTGGTGCCATGCTTGCCATGGCTTTTAAATGGGCTTTGGGCAACCCAGCTGCCTCAGCAGATTGCTGGGAGGATGAATTAATGCTTGAGTGACACACGGAGATTTCTCAGGTGAAAAGCCCTTGTTATCCCAGCATTAGAGCCAGCACTCAATTGAAAGGTGAGCGGATCACTGGAGTACTGCTAGTGTCTTAGTTTCAACTGGCTGAGTAGTTAAGCCAGGAGCTCATGCATGCAGGTAAGATTTCAGTCATTCCTGGTCAAGTAAAAAGAATTCCATGTTTTAAATTTAAGGAAAAATGCAGGAAATTATTTCTCAAATAGACTGGATGTATCCATTTGTACATCCTTCCTATTGATTTGAAAATCCTTTGAAAAGCCCTGCTTAGATGCCACCCCATGCCCCCTGCATGAGCCATTGCTATCCACATCTGCCCACCCCGGGGGGTGCTGCTGGAGCCCCACACCCCTACCTTCTCAGCAGTCTCTGCGTGTGCTTTCGGGGCTGCCCGACATCGGGACCGTAGAGCTTTGCGTGCCGGTAGAGGGTATAGTTACTCAGAAGTTGGCGTAAGTGAATAAAATCTTGCCCCAGCTGAAAGCCGTCGATGTAGATGCCAGATTTCTTCCTGAAGCTATTGGGCTCTGGGGAAGAAACACGCACGTCAGCACCCCACTTTAGTTTTGGGGCACAAAATAGGGCATCTCATGGGGAGTACTAACCCCCTATGGCTTCATGTGATCTGGTATGGCAAAGGTAAGATATTTGAAGGTGATGAACATGAAACAGAAAGCCCAGGTGATATACGGCGTGCTGCTCTCCAGAACTCTACCCCAGCCAGCTCCCATAAGTGACACCATGCACCTCACAGGGCATTGTTCACCTCATCAAAGAGTCTTGGTAGGAGGAGCAAAATCATATCAATTTGCTCATTTGTTGGGCCTTCTGTCAAGTCCCTCCTCGCAAATTAAGAGACCTTAACGTTTCCCAATAAAACATCACCTTGCCTTTATGGGCAAAGTCATCCAAAGCATCCAAAATTACTAGCCCGTACCCTGCAGTGGTACCTTTCCAGGTGACTGCTAGCCTGGCCCACAAGCAGACTTTGCACTTACCATTCCCGAGCTCCCAGGAGATGTTGTACCACCGTGAGGCACAGTAGTCCAGCAGTGCCTGGGCATTCGAGCTGTCCCACTGCAAGCCAGCTTTCCGCAGCAAGGCGTTGAGCCCAAAGATTAGGTGAAAACCTGAGCAGTTGGCAAAGCTGTAGAGAATATCGAGCGTATTTCCTGCATGGAGGAGAAAGGGGGAACGTTTATCTCAAGGCTACGGCATGCTAGTTGAGCTCTGGCCAAGCGACAGTCTTTACCGCCTGTATTTATTTAGTCTGGTGCTGCAGATGTGCCAAGTTCTCCCAGCTGGACAAAAGAGCACAGACCTTACCACACACCATCCTGCACGGTGGTGAGATCCTCCCAACTCCTGCAGCAGCTGAATACTATTAGATATGAGGTGGCAGACAGTAGAAAAAGATTTCTTAGAAATATTTCACCCACTTAGAAAAACATTCATTTTCAGTGGTTTCAGCACCTAACAGCCTACCACAGGGCAGAGATTTGCATCCCCCTGGTTATACACCCGAGCAGAAAAATCCATTGAAGTCTTACTTGTAATGGTGGTGTTTTTGTGCTTTTTCCGGGTATGCTCTGCAAGAATCAGTTTCTCCTGGCTGGGCCACTGGGCCAGCAGCAGCTTCTCAACAGCAGCAAATGCGGGCCTTGAGCCACAAGCCTCTGTAGGGCAGAAGAAGGTTGATAGCAATTAAGTCTTCATCTTCACAGCCAGGGTCCAGCGTGCAAAGGGCTGTATCCCTCAGGAGGAAGAACTGCTTGGTGCCAGGCTGCGAGCCAGTTGTGCCTTTCTGTGAAACACACCCCTACTTTCACAATGTTAAACACATAGAAAAAGAAGACTGGCTTGATGCATAAATATATATTACATATATAATACATATTTCCCTATTGAAGGTGATGGAGGTGGCAAGGTGGGGGGAGACTGAGCTGTGTTTCTGGAGGCTGGTATCGTGGTGGTCATACCCCAATAAACTATTTTAGCTGGAGCACCATCCAGAAACCCTGGTTCCAGTGAGCTGACAAAGCCCAGGCTGCGGTGCCCAAGGAGCAGATAAGCCACCCCGGTGTGCAGTGGTGCAACAGGGTTCACAGCCTGCCTGGCTGTGGGCAGATACGGGACAGCGCTTCCTGCGCTGCCTGTCTTGCGTAGGGAAAAGCGCCGACTGCCCCGCGCAGCAGCAACACTGGCAGGAGTCATGAGACACTTTCTTCAAAGCTCATGTTTTTCTCAGCATGCAAAGCAGGAACAAGCCATACCCAGAGAGGTGGCAGATGCTCAGCATAGCGGTTCGGGGGGAAAAGTACTACTCAACTTCAAAACCAAGCATCGCCAATTGTACACTAATGTACGATGGCACGGTTGTGCTACGTACCACAGGAATCAATGGGGATTTTTTCATCTAAAACACCTCTAGAATGGTTTATGTGCTTTTACTAAGTTTAAAGAGAAAATGGACTTTAAGACAGTAGGAAATCTCATGCACCAGGACCAAGCTTGAGCAGTTGGCAGTGGTCCGGTGGGTTTGCACTTGCCCTCTTGCAGCAAAAGGAGGGCATGCCTACCTCACTCTAGGCTTTGGCCAATGTAGAGAAAACAGACACTCTGTTGTCATCAGATTATTTCTTCCACCCGCTACTTAATTTTCGTAACAAAACCACAACATTTGAGCTGACCTTGACCGCCTCCCAGGCGGTGGGGGAGCTCCCAAGGCTACTGTGGGGAGTGCAGAGTGGCAAAGGGAGAGTCCCAGCAGATGCTGCGGCAGACATGAGTTCCCTTGTGCCCTTCCTCATTTTCCCATGGCTGATACAGCTCCTCCTATGGACTGTGCTAAAGGTCCACGAATCTTCCCTCCATAGAGGAGGGCAAAGCTGACCCAGTGGAGGACCCCCAGTGCTGCATGCCCCAGCCTGCATCAAAACCACCTCCTAAACCCAGGATGGTCTCAAGTTTAACACGTTCGTGCCTGTTTTACCTTGCTGGGCCTGAAGTTCCCAGATGATTTTTTCTTCTGAAGTTGAGTCCTTGTTGGGATCAAAGATGAGAAAATCTGTCTCAGTGCCACCGAACCTCAGGAAGCCTGGGGACAGGGCCTTCGCCAGGGCATGCAGTTTGGGATTGCTGAGGAAAAGATGTCAAGAAACAGAAGAAACATTATGTTCATGCAGACTATGGCTTCGGTGTAGAGGTTAAACATGGCAAGTGCTCAGAGGGACGAGCTGCAGTAGGTGACCTGGGACTACCCAGTAGCCTCAAGGCACCCCTGACCCCTCTCCTCTGCACTGTGCAACAGAGATGCTGCCCACTGAGTGGGCCAGGAGAGCATCAGCGAGGCAGAGAGGGGAAGATGGGCCCCAGGGAACACACTCACAGACAGGGAGTCAAATCCTGGGGGCAAAGTAAAGGGATACTTCAAAACAGGTTGGTTTTTTTTTTGTCCTAAGCATCCTTCTCCGCTAGATTTTTTTTGGTTTTTTATACAAAAATAACATACCAGTCCCATGAGAAGGTGGATGTAAAACTGACTTTATACCATCAGTCCCATCTTCGAAAGCCAAAGCAATCACTTTGGCACCCAAGAGCAATTAACAGTCCACGCTAGGACAAGTGTTAGTTTTAGTGAAGCAGGATTATAAAATAACACAAGCTCTGCCTCTGTGACCTGTGTACACCCCACACAGGATGTGCAGCACCGACACCCGGCCTTCACTGGGGGAAACCACGAGGTGCTGGAGGACACCAGGCACACAAGCACTATCAGATTAGAGGCCACCAAATGCTTCCCATTCCTCGTGGTGGTGGGACTGGCCCCAGACTGGACCCCAAGGTGTGCGGTTAGGGCTGGAGGTTGGGGACCTGAGCACTTTCCGATAAAGTTTGTGTCACCTTTCTCCCCACCTTGGTGAGGAGGAAAAGATGAAAGTGGTGGGAGGAGGGAAATCAGGACTGGAGAAATACCATGGTGCTGGAAAACGGGATCACACAGATGAGAAAGAAAAAATTAAGATAGCTTCCAAAGAAGGTGGAATCAAAATGAACAGAGGACAAAAAAAAAATAGAGCAAAGGAAAGGGCAAGAGAGAAGCCAGAGGCAAAAGGCCCAGCAAGGAACACCATCACTCGGCAGTCCAGAGATGTTCAGGGCTACCCAAGGGAGAAAAAGGGCTTCATTTTTAGGATCTCTCAATCTAGTTTTGATAGTGACAGACCTTCCCCTGCATTTATTTAACCTTATGCTGACAGTGCCCCGACAAACGTTGGCAAAGCTGCCCGAGGATTTTAATGTCATGGAGCAGCAGAGCCCGCAGCCCCCGCCCCACCCCTCCTGACCCCTCTGCTCGGCAGTTCCCTTCTCCTTTTTTGCCACTCGCAAAGCAGCTCCTCTCCTAAGTTTGTCCCACTGATGCTTCCAGCAAGTC